TGAATATTATGGCCAAAATAAGGATTAGGGGAAAGTTCAAAAATTGTTGTAATCTTGCCCAAGCAATACCAAACTTTCTCTTATATGAAAAATAGATATCAACATACACCTCTAGGTATAGTGATATGAGGGACTTCTTGACACTGAAAAAGATTGGGCAGAAAGCACCAGAAACCTGAAAAGGTTGTCCCCAACTTACAAATATTCATTTAGTTGCCGTTCAAAGTTACAATGGCACTTATAAAAGTGACTTATGACTATTTTTTACTCAACTATTCTAGCATCCCCATGGTTGCATGAGTAAAATTTGGACACTTGGCAAATGGAATGCATTTATGATGGCTGCAGTGTCCCGGGGTCATGTAATCACCTTTTGAAGCCTTCTGACTTTGCTTGTTAGAAAGTTGCAAAAAGGTGATTACATAGGGAGGCCAGACTCACTTAACAACCACACTACTAACTTAACAGCTGCAGTGATTACTTAAAATGGGGAAGAACTCACTTAAAATCTGTCTTGCTTAGCAACATAAATTTTGGCCTCAACTGTGGTTTCAAGTCATGGACAATCTGCATTGGGACCCCAGAAATAAAGAAAATTCATTACAGGTAGTCCTGGACTTCAGGGATTTGGGGGAAGGTGAGGCCTGTGCCACTTTCTGCTATGCAAGGATTCTAAGCTCAGCCTCCTCTTAACATTTCCTTCCTGTCTAGCTGGAGATTCCATCACACATCATCTTCTGGCCTGACAACAGCCAGCAGAGCTGGCAGCAGAGTTGGACAGTGAGGAGGTTGGGAAGGAACATGGACCAGTCCTGGGAGGGGGCGGGGTGTGAGGAAAGCTCAGGCGAGGGCTCTATGTCAGAGAGGAAGTAAGACAGCAGCGAGGCAGAAAAACAGCTGGAGCCTGTTCCCACTGTGCGCATGCTCAGAGCTGCCAGAAGACAAGAACAATTAAGAAAGCAGGGTTGACTTAACAGTAAAGCCACACCTTGGAGGTGATTGGCCACTCCCATAGGAAACAAAAGAGGAACGAATGGGGATTGGGTTTTTGCAGGAAACAATTCATTCACCCAGTTGATTCAAGAGTGGAAAGTTCTGGTTGTGACTTTAAGAGACTCTGTTCCAAGTTTGCCTTGGGCTGCATTTGGAAACTAGTTATCTGGCAGTGCTCCAAATGAGATAAGGTGCACGTGGATAAACATTCCTCTGAAAGACTGTTTGCTAAAGCCTTGCTGACTGTGAATGAAACGAATTCACAGTCGTGTCAATAAAAGAGGTTTTGCAGTGATCAAAACTTTGCACTCTTGGTTTCTAAGGAAGCCTGGGGCAGAACACATATGCAGTGTGACTGCCCAATGATTGAATAGAATAGAATAGAATAGAATA